CTAACGGGTTTGTTTTTGGACTGCAGGCCGCTGGCTACCCTCGCCGGGCTTATTTTTGTTACCCAACATACTGTGCGATCGGCGAAGGGACAGTGATCGTTTCAAGCAGCCAAATTCGAAATGGGAAGGCCTATCGATCTGGAGATAAAAGTATCGCTAGTGAAAGATCTGGGGGAGGAATTGTGAATCGAGTGAATGGAAAATGGAACTGCAACATCTCTGCTTTGATTTTCTGGAGGAATCGAGACTGGTGGAAATTTTTTGGCGGAATTATTCGCTTCGGGCGACGGACGCTTCTAAAATAGGTTTCCGGCCTTGTCTTTCTTTTAGCAGTTGAACACCAACATAGCGCTAACTCGCCGAAAACGCTTCAAAATGGCCTGAGACGTTCGGAATCAACAAAGAAAACAACAAGGCAATAAAGTGAGCCCATTATATTTCAAAACAAGACATTTTTTTCTCTCTTTTAAGGCAAACCGATAACATCCCATACAAACCTTTATAAATATAAAACGTTACGCAACACGGTAAGAGTCACGTCCGCTTTTCTCGTAGTGAGCTTGGGCTGCCTGTGCTCTAAATCGCATCATTTTACACTTGACTGTTTTTGACACATGACGTCAAAGTCATTCTCTTTTGTATACAAAATAAGATGTAAAAGCATTTCTAGTTCCACTTTTTATTTAAAAACTGGCTTAGTACTGCATCAATAAAATATTTGAATTGACCAAGTCCTGTATTTGGGCGATCTCAAAATGGATGTAATAAATTGGTAATTGAACCTCGTGTCGTGCAATTTTGTCTGAAATCATCAGTTGTGATTTCAAATTGAACTCGCGCTGCGCGCTCGTTCGATTTTGAAATCATGCGTATAATCTCAGCCCGAATTGCACTCCACTCAGTTCAATTACCATTATAAATCTGACTGGAGCCAACTTTTTTGACCAATTACAGAGCGTAGCAAATCCAATGCAACCCTGGGTTACAATAGGCGCACAAATGAAAATTTCTCTATGATTTTGATCACGTAAACGGGTAGTTATGGGTGAATATATTAGGTAATATTACGAGGTCTTTGCATCTTTCATTGGTCTGAAGCGTCCCTCGCAAGTGAATAGTGCCCGTTAATTGTCAAAGATAGATGTGGGTCAGCACATTCTTTTAAAGGTAGAATTGAGCTTTACGGCTTCACCTAAATAAAGGAAGGCGTCTAACATTTGCAAACGTCATGCTAAACTATTTACACAACGGTGCTTCTCGAAAATAAAAGGTAAATAAAAGTGGAATAAGTCTCAGGGAAGAAAACTCGAAATATTTTCTCCTTAAAATGTGGTATTTGACTGGATAATATCAATTATTTCAGTCAAAACTTGTGTTGTAACGGTAAAAGTAGTCTCCTTTGCGGCCGTTAGTTGTATCTTATGTATCAGAAGTGTTTCAAATACTGATAGATTCAGCCAATGAGATTGTTTACATAGGATAATATAATTGATCATACGGTTCGTTTTTGACATCAGATCGTAAACGATCGAAGACGCCACATTGCGCAAAGAATAAGCTTATTCTTTCCCAAAATCGAATAAATATAATGGATCATTCATTCCAAAAATAGAATTTTAACTATTGATTTGTGGAAAAGGCGCTAATGTAAAGTTCAGTCTGCCGTCATCTGCACCAGTATTCTCCTCTCTCCTGTGAAGGCCATTCGTCCATGCTGAACGTTCAGATTATCAAGCGCTATTAAGTCGCCCTTCTTTCACCGAAATCCAATCGCGCATGACCATGAAACTGCTCTGATGTTTTGCAACACTTCCGGTTCGATGTCACTTCCGTCTCCATAATAGGTGTGACAGGGATATTTATAATCCGGGAGATCAGAACCTTTGTACTGTGGCAGTGCTTTCGTGTAAGTACAATGGTGAGCTCCTGCTTGGTTGAACCAGATTTTTTCTCCTGTCACTGGGTGAGAAAGGAAGGCCGGCGCGCTGTAAGTCAGGTACATATCACCGTTATCGTCCCATCTTACAGCGTAGCCTCGCTGCTGTGCTCTCATTTCTGCTTCCTAAAAGATTAAATGAGAGTAACCTTGCTGCTGTGCTCTTATTTCTGCTTCCTAAAAGATTAAATGAGAGTAACCTTGCTTCTGTGCTCTTATTTCTGCTTCCTAAAAGATTAAATGAGAGTAACCTTGCTTCTGTGCTCTNGAGTAAGTATAATGGTGAGCTCCAGCTTGGTTGACCAGATATTTTCTCCTGTCACTGGGTGAGAAAGAAAGGCCGGCGCGCTGTAAGTCAGGTACATATCACCGTTATCGTCCCATCTTACAGCACAGCCTCGCTGCTGTGCTCTTATTTCTGCTTCCTAAAAGATTAAATGAGAGTAACCTTGCTTCTGTGCTCTATTTCTGCTTCCTAAAAGATTAAATGAGGTCAATAATGTAAATTAAATTCAAGAGTTTGAGATTAAAAATCATCATTTCAGTTTTAAATCTTTACAATTCTTTTTTGTCTTCAAAAGAAAATCGAACTCCTACATTCACCGAATCGAAATATGGCATCCAATTTGAATTACCATTGTTTTAGACTTACTAGCCTCGTCTTCACGTGCAAACACAAAAGGATTATCACATGTGTGAGAGGCTAGTCGGTCCAGAACAACGGCAATTCAAATTGGACGCCATATTTCGATTCGGTGTATGGGATACCTAATATGAACCAAGTTGTATTACCTTCTTGTCGTCAGTCTATAACTGATGCTGCGAGGGAATGTATTCTGATCGTGATTTGTCCGGCAGATGTCGTGCATATATGATTCCTTTCTCTTCGAACTTTTTCACGACTCCGGGATCAAGTTTGGATACAATGTCGCTGCATTTAGCCAGTGGTGTCTCGCCACCACAACTCTCGCCAGGCTCTTTTAGGCAGAAAAAGAATACCTAGAGAAGAAGATAAATGAATTAATAAAATAGAGGGCAAAATTACTGAATGCTGATCGGTCACTGAAGAGGGTATTTTTTCTTAATTTTGCTTGAGAAGAGGGCAAAATTACTAGCTCATGATTGGTACTCAGGTTGCCTAGCAACAGCTTGTGCTATCGAAAAGTTGTTGCCGAAGATTTTCTGTAACAATGGCGTCTCGTTTTGAGATAGTTGACGAGGAATATATCGAAGAATTAAAAGACAAGAGTGAAAACGAAAACACGAGGAAAAGCACCGAGTACTGGAAGAACCTTTTTAAAAAGTGGGCGAATGAAAGAAACTTCCAAGCAAATTTAGAAGAGTACGAAAGCGATGTCTTCGACCGAACACTGGAGCAGTTTTATGCCGAGTTACGAAAAGAAAACGGGGATGAATATC